TCGAGGGCATTCAGTAAATGCATCCCGAGTGTCATGTTGTGCCTTCTGCAAGCGCGGCTTTGGCTGAGTTTGTCACCTACCGGGGATGGCGTTGGGCGCTTCCACACCTGGACTCTCACTGAACTTTCACAACATAGGAGAGCTCCTCATCACCATCCGCATTTTACAGGTGAGAAAGTCAAGACATGGTGATGCCACGAGCCTCGCCCGGTTTCACGTGGGCAGAAAATGGCAGAGGGCCCCGATTGTCCATCTGGGGCCCTGGCTGAGCTAAGGAGTAAGGCAGGGAGAACGGGGCTGCGGGAGGGGGAGAAAAGGAGCAGTGAGCTCCGTGGGCAGCGCAGCGGCAGAGAAGGCCGCCCGGCGCCGGCCTCTCCAGACCTCCAGCCTTTCGTGTGCGCTTCCTTGCGGGGCTGTCTGGCCCTGCAGCCGAAAGGCAGCAAGTGTGAAAAGGGCTCTCACAGGGACTACAGCTTCACCATCACCCTGTGGTCCTTGAAATTGACTTCCCAGTTCACAACTTCCTGTTTCTGAAGCCAGAATTCTAGACACTCAGAAGTTGCTTCTCTTGAAACCTTTAGAACACTGGTCAAGAAACTTTTTCTGTAAAGCACCGGATAGTAAATATTTTAGGTTTTGTAGGCCATATGGTCTCTGTCACAATTCTCAACCCTGCCATTGTAGCACAAAAGCAACCCTAGATAAAATGTAAATGAAGGATGTGGCCATGTTCCAATAAAACTTTATTTATAAAAACAGGTGGTGGGCCAGATTTGGCCCCTGGGCTATAATTTGCTAACCCTTGCCTTAGACAAACCATAAGGCTCCAGAAATCTCTGGAAGAGTTTAGATGAATGCTTGTGAAGAATCCCTGCCAACTACAGACTGAATGCAACTACTAATTTTGATGTGCATGTGTGAAAAATACTAATCTCCAAATAATTTTAAAAGTAAGTGTTGCCAGAATTGTCTCATTCGAGCTTAAAATTTCTGCCTTAGGCCTACAAGCACAGACGTGTATGAATTCCCCCTACCATTCTTCAGTGGTGTGACCTCGGGAAAGTTACTTAGCCTCTTGGAGCTCCCATTTCCTAATTTGCAAAACTGAAGTGATCAGCCCGTACCTGAAGGCATGATTGTGATAATCAACCAAGGCTGTGTAGAGCGGTGGTTAATAGCAAGGATTCAAGAGTTGGAAGATTCTGACTGATCCATCACCTGCTAGGTGGATGACCTTGAACAATTTACTTAACCTCTCTGGACCTTAGATTCCTCATCTACAAAATGCAGATGATAACCGTCCCTACTGTAGCCGTGTGGTGCAAGGATAAAACAAGACAATATGTGTAGAGTACTTAGCACAGTGTCTAGAAAGTGCTCACTGTTCAGTAATGGTTTGTCATTTATTATTCAATAAAGTGGGCAATGCACTTAGCGGAGTTCCTAAGGCATAGTAAATTTTCAGTGACTATTTTTTCCTTTTTTGAGGACAGGAATCAGGGGGTTTCTGGACATGTACAAGGAATCTGCAGGTTGGAAGGTTGAAATGAATCCTATGGCTGGTAGGGAATAGGGCAGAAGATTCCCCAGGACTGTACTCTTTATGCGCAAAAATGAGACCTTCCCTATAGAATGTCATCTATCAGGTTGTATTGCTAAGTTGCCCTGTATCTCCATGTAGCTCTAAACCATGTTGCAGAGGATGTGGGGAGCAGGGTGGAGTTGACCCAGAGGTACAGCCAGGTGCGTAAAGTCTAGAGAACGGCTTCCGGTTCAGGGTGCAGTCCAGCATGGGCACCAGGAGCTGAGATGACAGTCCCCGGGCATTTCCTCTGCCATCTCTTCATCACTGGATCATCCGCATTGGTGTAGAACCACGCTAGTATTTCTAACATCTTAGAAAACTTATTTTCCTTTCTTGACCTCACTTCCCCCTCCAGCTACTGTCCTATTTTTCTGGAAGACTTTCTAGCAAAACTCAAAAGCATTGGCTCTACTTAGTTTTCAATTTCTTTCCTCCTCCTTTTAAACCTTCTCCACTCAAGCCTTTTGTCCTCAGCCACTTCACCATACTGCCCTCCTCCGGACTACGATGGTCTCCGTGTTGCTGAATTGGATCAGCTCTCAGATGTCCTTGGCCTGGGCCTATCAGCAGCATCGGATCCTGTTTATGCCTTCTTTCCTTTACTGCTTTCTTCACTGCGTTTCCTGGACCCCCGCCGCGGTTCCCCTCCGACCGCATTGGCTGCTGCTTCTCCATCTCCTCTGATGGTTCCTCCACATCTCCCCGTGTTTTCAACCTGGAGTGCCCAGGTGCTGAGCTTGGACATCTGTGCCTTCCTCACTCTTTTGATACTCTTATCCACTCTCACCGTCTTACATACCATCTATTTACCGATTTGTATCTCCAGCCAATTTGTTATTGGAGACCCCACATCTTGAATCTGGACGCATGTATCTCACCGCCTGCGTGTGTCCGCTGAGCATCTCGAACTCGGCATGTCCACACTGAGCTCCTCCGTCTTGCCCCATGTCCTCCCCGCCCGTCCCTTTCAGGGCCCGGCTACCCCATCAGGCCATTGCCGAGGCCATGTTATCCTGGCGTTATCCTGGCTCTTCTTTTCCCGTCACGCCACAACACATCCGTGAGCAATTCTGTGGGTTCTACCTTCGGAATATGTCCAACATCTGATACTTCTCATCACCTTTCTTGCCACCACACTGGTTCAAGCCACCGTGCTCCCTCCCAGGGCTTGCTTCAGTGACCTGCTACCCCTGTTAAAGCCTTGCTCCTGCCTCTCGCTGCGACAGCCAGAGTGACCCCTGAGTCAGTATGCCGCTCCTCTGCTCGCTCACCTGGAGGGAAAGCCCAAATCCTCACTGTAGCGCGTAAGACCTCTTGACCTCCCGCTACCTCTCTGGCTGTGTCCCAGCCCCCTTCGTCCTCCCCCAGCCTCGCTCTGCTCCTGGCACCCGGTCCCACCCCAGCTCCCTGAACACGCCACGCAGGTGTCACCCCTGCTGCTCCCTCTGTCTGGAATGCTCTTCTCCCAGATATCCTCATGCTTTGCTCAAGGATAAGCCTCTCGGAGAGGTTTGCCCTGATTATCCTATTTAAAACTATGTTCTTGCCCCAGCCTATTCTCCTTATCTTCCTTCCCAGATTTGTTTTTCTCCCTAACACTCATTACTTTATAATACACTGTACCATTTGCTTATCTATTATGTTTCTTTTCTGTGTCCCCCACCACCACCATGAGAAGGCAAACTCCATGAAGGCAGGGCTGTGTTTTGTTCACTGCTTTATCCCAGTGTCCAGAAGGATGCCTTTCCGCAGTAGGTATTCAGTGTGGATTTCCGTGGGTGGGTGGGTGGGTGGATCGGAGGCTCCCCAGGCTCCCCAGGCACTGCCAACGTGCTGGGGATGGTCTTCCTTGGAAACACCCATTCTCTTTCCACTGTTGCCTCATTCGGTGATAAGGAGGAGGCTTCGTGTTCATTAAAGCAATTTAGGAAGCTAAATTAAGACCAGACTATGAGTTTGTTCTCTTTTTAAAAATATATCTAATATTTTGTGTAAATATTTATTATTCTTTCCATTTCATAAAATAGTAATTCACATAACAGAAAACCTGAAAAATACAGAGAGGTAGAAGAGGGGGAAAGTCACCAAAATTACCTCTAAATGAAGATAACTGCATTGTAACCTTGCTGTATTTTCTTTCGGAGTTTGTTTTCCTACACACAAGTTTGAGATATGTGTTTCCCCTGGATAGGCAAAAGGTAAGAAAGTGTATATACAAATCGTATCCTGCTTTTTTCCACCTAACTTGATAAAATAAACATTTTCCGTATTAACTCAGTCATTGACCTTTGTGAACATCATTTCTGATAGCTACAGCGAGTTCTATCAAGTGAATGAATATTTTGTATTTAACCAGAGTCCTTGCGTTGGAACATTTTAGTGACTTCCAATGTTTCATGTTTATAAATTATGCTAAAAGAAAAAAAAACTAAATTATGCGCAGTAAAGGGGTAATTTTCTTTCAATAACAGCTTTTCTCGGATCACTCCCTGTTCATCACGGGGCTCTGGGGGTGTTGGTTGGATCTTACCGTGAGCCGCAGACTCTCTGCCGGTGTCCTCCGGCGTGACTGGAGTCGTGCGCAATGGCAAGAGGGTAGGGGAGGAGTGGCGGAGGATAGTTTATTTTAAAATAAAAATGTTTTTCATTTTAATTACAAAGGTACTATGTAGCTATATACAATTGGAAAATACATGAGTCCTAAATGTGTCTCAGCTTCAGTTTTAATTAACATGAATATTTAGGTCTTCTTGGTCTCCAACCCCACCTGTACACACAGAAAATCTGGTCTCTCGCAAATTTCTCTTCCATCCCAGGTGTTTCTGGAGTCCCCTTTGCAGGTCTCCCTTCTACCATCATTGCTGCTGGCTTCACCATGGCAGCTAGAAGTTTCTCTACCCCGAGTTTTCTTATTTGAAAACTTGTGTTTTGCCTCTGCTGAGCCCATGTTCCCCAGAGACAACTTGACCAACTAGGGCAAAAAGGGAAAGAAAATAGTTTATTCGCTACCGTAGCATAACAGGGTTCCCACGGTAGGTTCGCTTGAGCCCCCACAGATTAGAGGCCTAGGTGAGCTTAGTCTTCACTTTGCACACCCAGCCCTTGTCTGTCTTCACTGCTGGCCCTGGCACGACGCTCAGCGCAGAGGTGTGCCCGGTTAATATTTGCGCATTGAATAACGTAATGAATGGCCCAGCTGAGTGAGATAACCGGCAAAGGCGCAAGCCCCGGAACACATGTGGCCGGTGGCAGAATCGAAAGGTACCACCGTCTCCCCACTGGGTGCTCCCTCCCCTCCCCCGATCCTCGCCCATCTGAGAAAGGGGTAAGTTCACCCATCAGGGGTTCCCACAGCACTAACCTGCCTCATCCCATTTACCTCCTTGCTAATGGCTTTCCGGGGCCTGTCTCCGCTTTAGGCCCTAAGCGCCACTGGGGCAGAGGCTGTCCTCTCTGCCGGTGTCCTCAGTGCACCGCCAGGGCCGGGCCTAAGCTGTTGCTCCATGACAGGCAAAGGAGGAGGTGAGCGAGGTGCTGTGAAACATGAGCCCAGTGTCTGGCGGTTACAAAAGAGAAATCTGCCCCTGGCTCTTCAGAATCCAGAACAGGTGACAGTGTACTGGTGCTGCAGGGCAAGCCCCGCAAAGCAGCGGTTCTGAAACTCAGCCGCACGACACAATTACCTGGAGATCCAGGTAAAATCCCAAAGACCAGGTCATACCCCAGACCAACTAAAGCTCAGTCCCTGAGGGTGGCATCCAGCCACTCATCAGTATTTTTTGAAGCTTCCCAGGTAATTCCAACACGCAGACAAGTTTGGAGCCACTTCCTAAATCCTTGGCCCCTGTCCCAGGCTTCATTTAATTGAAAATGTGTTGAGTGAACAAATGAATGAATGAATGAATTTAAGAGCTTTCACATCTTTGGCAAAGGCTGATCTGTCCCTTTCCCGGGTCTCAGGCTGTGACCTTCTATCCGGTCACATTCTAGTCTTTATAAAATTGAAGATGATTTTTGAAATTCTTTATTTTCCAGTAGTAGTTTTCTTGTTTCCGTTTTTACATCTAGATATTTAGTTACTCAATAGGAGAGTCTAGAGATGTAAGCTATTTTTCAAATAAAAATCCTTTCCCAACTCCTTTGAAGTGCCATCTTTATCACGGAATGCCACATTCACGGCATGCAGCACGTATTTCCCACACACCCGATAGGTGCCGAGCACGGCTGTCACCATCCTCCGAGTGGAGGTTCTTTGAGGTTCTTGGTGATCATCGGAAGAAAAGAATTTCTGGACATACCACGTAAGCCAAAGCAAGCAGCTTTTATTGACAGATCGAAAGTGAAAGTACACTCTCTTAAGACAGAGCTGGCAGGCTCAAAAAGCGTGGCTGTGCCTAAAGGATTTTTGTCTTACCGAGTCTTACTAATTTGAGGGGAGGAATATTCAAAACTCGGGGGTTGGCTCTTATTAAAAATTTGGGTAGTAATCCCTAGAATTGGGTTCCCTCCCATTTTTGTACTTTATATGTTTGCTTCAGAACTGTCATGGCAATTTTAAGGGTGGAGAAATTTTAAAACCACCATACGAATGATACTATAATTAGCCAAAGTTCATGTAAGGTGACCTAGATAGCTGGCAAGCTAGTTGAAGCTGGTCCTTGTCTGTGGTTATTGACAACCTCCCTTAGACTTTAACGCCTGCACCCACTCTGCAAGCCCCTGCATCTGATCTCAGCCCTGTCTCCTACACTAACATTTCCCCACTTGAGAGCTTTGGGCCCTTGGAACCTTACAAGGGACGCCGAGGGAAGAAGATCCATCTTCTGAAGCTGCTTCCTGCTGGTAAGGGGCGTTGACCCTGCCCGTGGGTACTAAAGTCTCTTGTGTCTTGTTCCCTATCTGTCAGTGGGGCCGAGTGTCAGGGCATGGGCTTTAAGGCCCCTCACTGTGGTGGGAGGGATCTTTGGGGCCTGCAGGGCAGTCGGGTGGCTGTTGGTAGAAGGAACGAGCTGCCCGATCAAGGGGATTTTGATATTCCCTTTCTTTATCTCTTTGAAAGGGGACAGGTGGAACCCTTGGAGTACTGAGACGTGTTGTGTGGTAGTCTGGACAACCTGAGAGACGAGATTTTAAAAGTTTGATAATGCAAGGAGAGAAAAAGAGAACAAAAACTACGATAATAATGGGGACTATAAAGGGTCCTAGCCAGGCCCATAGGGTTCGCCTAAATGCAGGCCCCCCGGAGGATGGTTTGTTCCACAGTTTGTTGCATGTGTCAGATGCTGGGTCTGACTTTCCCGCAGCGCCTCTGCAGTGCACCACAGCTACTCGGCTGGTTCCAAGGATTTCAAAAGGATGTGTAATGGGGAAATTGTTTGTTGTTAGAAATCCCCACTTTTTCCAGATAGCAGCATGGGCATGAAGGATGAGGAAGGTGTATTTGGAGTCTGTGTAGATGTTAATTCTTTGTTTTCTTTTCCAACTCTAAGGCTCTTATGAGAGCAATCAGTTCGGCCTTTTGGGCAGAAGTATTGCAGGATAGAGGTCCCATTTCCACAGTGCCATTAAGGCTGACTGTAGCACATCCTGCCTTCCGGATGCCATCTAGCATGAAGCTACTGCCATCTGTATACCATTCTTCATCCAAGTTGTCCAAGGGGGTATCTTTTAAGTCTGGTCTGCTAGAGTACACTTGTTCTACGGTTTCTGTGCAGGAACGTATTAAGTTGGTGAGGGGTCCCATGGGCATCGGGGTGGCCGGATTTAAAGTTTGGCACACCTTGAGACTGATTTCTGTGGAGTCCAGCAGGATGGCCTGGTATTTGGTAAGGTGTCCTCCCGTTAGCCAATGGTGACCTTTTATTTCTAAGACCCCTTGCACCTGGTGGGGAGTTTTAACCTCTAAGCGACATCCCCAGGGTTAACTTAGTGGCCTCTTCGACCAATAGAGCCATGGACACCACTGTTCTCAAGCATCCAGGCCATCCCACGGCACTGAGTCTAGTTGCTTAGGGAAGTAGGCTACGGGTCAAAGGTCCCAGAGTTGGATGAGCACACTCAGAGTGATCCCTTGTCTTTCTGGGGTAAAGAGAATGAAAAGCTTATTTAGGTCAGGATCCCCAAGGGGCAGATGTTAGAGACATTTTAAGGCCTTCTGTTGTTCTGTCCCCCAATTTGAAGGCTTGGTATCAGATCTTTTTAAAGTTTCATATAGAGGTTTTGCCATGACACCAAAGCCAGGAATCTAAATACTGCAAAATCCAGCCATTCCCAAAAATGTCCTAAGTTGTTTTCAGGTTTATGGAGAGCCAAGTTGTGAAATGGCCTCTTTCATTTTTGTGGACAGGGAACACTGTCCTGGGGTTAAAATGTATCCCCAGTACTCAACCTGTGGTGAGGATATTTGGGCTTTTGCTTTAGAGACCTATATGCTCTGTTGCCCAGAAAGTTAGGAACCTGGACAGTGTTGTCATCAGATGATTCCTGCAGATAAGAATCTCGTCTACATATTGAAGAATAGCCCCTTGCGGAAGCAACAGCTCTCTTCATTCCTTAGCCAGGGCATTTCCAAAGAGGGGAGGACTGTCCAGGTTTACTCCTGTGAGGATCCGGTGTCTGGATCAGGCCACTCGAAAGCCAACAAAATTGGGAGTCTGGATGTAGAAGGATGCAAAAGAAGGCATCTTTCAGGTCCAGGACAGTAAACCAGTTAGATTCTCCTGGAACTTGCATTAAAATAGAATATGGATTTGGAGCTACAGGACGAATGGGCACAACAGCCTCAATGATCCTTAGGTCGTGGACTAGGCAGTACTCCCCATTAAGTTTTAAGACAGGTAAGATGGGAGTACTGTAGGGGACTGGCAAGGTATTAACAGCCCATGTATTAAAAGTTTCTGTATCAAGGGCTTAAATCCCCTTTGTGCCTCTTTGTTTAGAAGATACTGTGTTTTTTTTTTTTTGAGAGTAGGATGAGGGATTTTTCAGGGTGACTTCGAGTTGCCTTGTAAGCCTTTCCTGGAATTCCTTTATCCCAGACTTGGGGATCTACATGGTCTAGGATCTCCTGGGGGATACCGGGACTGGAGTCAGGTGTGGTGTGGCCTAAAGAGGTCAAGAAGAGGCCTTGGGCCTCCGGGAGGCTCAGGGCAGCCCCCGAAGCCAAAAGCAAGTCTCTGCCCCATAAAGGAGCCGGGCGTTGAGGCGTAATGAAGACTCTAGATAGTCTCCCCATTGACAAGAAAGGGGTGGGGTGAAAGCCCTGTGTCTAGGGACTCCATCCACCCCAACAACTGAGCACTTCTCTGGAGAGACAGGCCCAGCATGAGAAGTTAAGACAGAATAAGTAGCTCCCGTGTCTATGAGAAAAGTTACAGGCTCACCTGCCACGTCAAGGGTCACCTGCGGTTCCTCCCCTGTGATAGCAATGGTCCTGGGAGCTGCAGGGATCCTTGGGCCCTGTCGGTCGGCCACAGTCATCGGTGGGGAAGGGGCTGGCCCTTTTCCTTCTTCTAATGCCCCTTCTTTTTACATAGGAGACACGGCCTGGCAGGAGGAGGATGAGGGTCAGGGCATTCCTTGCTCTAATGGCTCTTCCTACCACAGTGGAAACATCCCTCATTGGAAGATGGTCTTCTGGGCTGGTTTGGGTGGTCCTGAGGTGCCGGGGCCTGTCTAGGATGGCCACCAAAACATTGGCTTCCCTCTGGTCTCGCCTCCGATCACGCTGTTCCTGCCTCTCCTGCTCCGTTTTCTCTCGGTTGTTGAACACACCGAAAAAAACGTCCAGGAGAGTGCTGTGGGGAGTCCGGGGCCCCGTGGCCAATTCTTGGAGTTTTCTTCTAACATCCGGGGCTGACTGACTGATGAAATGAATCCCCAGCACCACGCTCCCCTCAGGGCTTGCCGGGTCTACATTAGCATCTTTGCAGATGGCAGCAACCAATCGAGCCTCAAAAAGGGCTGGGTTTTCACCAGGCCTCTGTCACCTCTCTCACCTTGTCATGGATTACAGGCTGCATGATGCACCTTTTCATTCCCTCTATGAGACACGTGACCATGTGGTCTCTGAGTCTCACTCCCTGCTGTCCCCATCGTTAGGTCTAGTTTGGATCCTGAAGGGGACAGCTGTCATTCCCACGGGGTATTGGAGAGGCTGGGCAGCACTTAAGGCCCCTGGTGACTGGGCCCAAACGCACATCTTCTCCTCTGGAGTGCAACAATGGGAGAGAATCACATTAAGGTCTCTCCATGGGAGATCAAAGGAAAAAGTTGGGTTCTGAAACTCCTCAGTGAACTTTCCAGAGTCTTCAGAGAACCGGCCAAGGCTTGTCTGGCTGGTTTAAGGTCTGACATAGAAAAGGAAACATGTATTCTGGTGGCGCCCCCTTGGCCTGTGGCTACCTCCTGTAAAAAGCACGGGAGTGCAGGGCAGGGTTTGGGGCCGGGTAGTTGAGGACGTGTTGGTGGGTGAGGCGGAGGTTCAGGGGCAGAGGCTGGAATTGCCTCAAGGGGTCCTGGTCCCTGTTTGGGAGGCTCCCAGGGGCTTCAGAGTTTTCTGAACTAGGGTCAGAAGAAGCTGCAAGGTTTAGGTCATAAGACTTAGGAACATCTAGTTTTACACAGCAGTGAGCTAAGGTGCAAGCTCCTCATGCCTCTGGGTTGTCCCGTAAGGCCATATATGCCTGAACATAAGGGACTTTGGACCATTTCTTCTGTTGCATGCAAAGAAGTCATAATTGGAGGATAACATTATAATTTAGACTTCCGTTGACCGGCCACACCTCCTTGTCCCCCAACTTACATTGGGGCCAGGTAATGTTACATAGGAATATGAGTTTCTTTCTTTTCATACTATCTAATTTAAAGGAGACCAAATTTTGGAGAATATAGCCAAGGGGGGAGACCCTCGGGATGGAAGGGAGACCTGAAAGAAAGGAAGAGAAAAAAAAGGAACAGGGTCATAATGGAACCTCCCGGAGGCTCCTGGGGTAACAGTTGAGCCCTAAGGGAGCCTACAGGGGTCCCCAGCCTCTCCCCTGCCCGTTACCTGTCACAACAGTGTCCATGGTTAGCCGTGAGACCCTGTAGAGTTTGGGTGTCCCTGGACCCTTGTCCTTGCCTGGCAAGAAGGACCTCCTCGCCCCAGCAGTCATGGCCCCAGGGGAGGCCCTGTCCCTGCCCCTCCGTCTGTGAACCCGGGGGCTGGGGTGTGGAACTGCCCAGGGGTTTGAGGCGCGGGCCACATCCAATTATTAGTGGTTCTGTGCTCGGTGTATCGCTCTAGTACTGGCATCGCTCAGGTTCCAAGACCTCTGATCATCCCACCATCCTTTCTCCCAGATCTAATGGAGCATTTTAGCCCTAACGAGGTGGTAAAAGGGAGCGGAGCTTTCTGTGTCTGGAGGTCTCTTCTTCTATTCTCTATGTAACATTCAATTGCATGAAGTTTTGCTCCAGTCAATGCGGAGCTGCCCTCTGTAGGGGTCCCTGCTTACACCACACACCTGTACTTTGTGGCGTTCAATCGAGTGTCTGATCAGGAAGACCGTAGCCCAAATTCCCTTTCTCTTGGGTCACCCTCTCCATCCTCATCATCCTTCCACAGGAATCTAGCACAAACAGCAAACGGGCGGCGGGCGGGGGGGGGGCGCGGTGGAGGGGGGGGATTGGCTAGCATCAAAAGAGCAAGCAGCGTAAGAGCATCGCCTGACTTACACGGAAGCATATTAGTGGCAAGCGTCTTGTCCCCAAATATGGGGCAGCAGTACAGAGAGGTAAGAATGAGGTCCAGCAGCAGAGGCTGGGCACGGAATGGCCATGGCTTAGAGAGCGTTTGGGCTCCTGCACGACGTGGGGAAATCCCCTGCCAGCTCCCTAGGCTGGTGTCCCCCAACATCTGGTGACTGCTTCAATCTGCACAGCCTCAGGAGTGACCCTCTGCCACCCTGGTCAGGGGGAGCCACAGTCAGCAAGACGGAGCGAGGTTACGCACCTGTCACTCACTGGGAAACTGCGAAAGCAGTGAGACACGAGGACGTGCTTACCTCCAAGTACCACGACAGGCAAGTCAAGGCCTACGCGCCATGTCCTGCCACAGTCACCACCAAGATGTTACCATCTGCCAAGTGGAGGTTTTCTCAGGTTCTTGGTGATCGTGGGAAGAGAAGAATTTCAGGACGCACCGTGGAAGCCAAAGCAAGCAGCTTTTATTGAAAGACTGACGGTGCAAGTGAGAGCGCGCGCGTGCGCAAACCGGCGGGCTGGGGAAGAGCAGCTGCACTGAAAGAGGGGTTTTTGTCTGACGACGTCTCGCTAATTGAGGGGAGGAATATTCAGAGCTAAGGGGTTGGCTCTTACTACAAATTTGGGTAGCAATTCCTAGAATTTGATTCCCTCCCGCTTTCAGACTTCATATGGTTGCTTCAGAACTGTCATGATGATTTTTAAGGGTGGAGAAATTTTAAAAACACAATGCAAATGATATTATAATTAGCCAAAGTTCACGTAAGGTGATCTAGAGAGCTGGCAAGCTGGTCCTTTTCTGTGGTTATCACCCCACCTTAGTTAGACTTTAGCACCTGCGCCCACTCTGCAAGCCCCTGCATCCGATCTCAGCCCTGTCTCCCAGTCTGTTATTCTAACACTACGAGGTGCTGGGGATACTGGTATGGACAAGAGGGACACACCCCCACCCTGCTGGGCACACGGGCCGCAGGAGAGGCAGACAGCGAGCACCCACACAAAGGTGGGATTCCAAAAATCTGTGGTCAGAGCTTTGAGAGAAGAGAACAGGATACTGAGAGGAGCAGGAGGGACCTAAAGCCAAGGGTGTAGGGCAAGCCCTCTCCCTGAAGAAAGGACAGGTATGATTATGTATGTATTTATGTATTTGTGCACCGTCTCCCCTCCCGCCATGGTAAGCTCGATGAAGATGGAGACTACCTCCGCGTTATTCACGCCCCTCTACCTTACGGTTACGCAGCACAGGCTCCTCTAACAGCCCTGCTCGGGACCCTGGGACGGGGTCTCGCTCGCCTTCTGCTGCAGGTCCTGGTAGCGCTCGGTGAGCTGCCTCAGCTCCTGCTCCTGCTCCTTGGCAAGTGTCCTCAGTTCCTTGGCTGTCTCTGCCCTCGCCCCCTCCTCCAGGTGCTTCCAGTTCTGCAGAAGTTTGCTCACATCTTGCATGAGCAAGAGGCCAGCCCCAGCGGCACCCGTTACCTGGGCACCCTTGGTCACGGCCAGACTTGTGCCTACGAAGATTGTCTGCACCTCTCTAGGCTTCCAGAAAGAGATGTTGTGTGTGGCCACACAATTCTTGACCATAGACATGAAGCCAAAGTTAGCTTTGGCCATCTGGTGGGCACGAAGACTCTTGATGATGCTTATACACTTAGCAACACACTGTCCAGTAGCCTCGACTTCAGGCAACTTTATTCCTCCGAAAGCCTCATGCTCCGACGTCATCCTAGCAGTCACCAGTCTGCTGGCTTTGTCTCTTGCTGCTGAATTGCTTCGATTTTCTAGGGCATTTGTCAAAACCTTGGTGATGGCAGCTGCTGCCCCCAACCCCACCCCAGCTGCTGAGAGTATGAGACTCCCTCCTACTGTCACAGGGGCTAGAGCAAAACCCAGGATGCTCATGACTCCAGAAACAGCCCCTGAAGAGCTGGCCACTAGGTTGGCCTTGGTGAGCGTCTTGTGGGTCCTGTCAACTTGGTCTGCAATGGTATTAAGTTCTTGGATATTCTTTTCCAGCTGATACTTCTTCAAGGGAAAATAGGACAGAAACCGTTTTTCCTCTTCTGACAGATTTCCAAATGGCATGGACTCACTCTCACGTCGCAGCAGCTCTTCAAACAGGATATGGTACAGCATACTGGCCTCATCACTATAAACAATCCGTATCAAATGATTAGTTTGCCAGCTCTGGCAAAGGTTCACCAGTGAGGCTAACAACATCTAGGTAATCTGAGTTCTCAAATGCACGCAGGGGCAGGGCCCTGGGAATCAAGGTACAACATGGGAAGCAGACGCAGACAGACAGAAGGTCCACTCTGGTCTGGAGCCCTGGGTGGGCCCCTGTTTATAGCAGGGCAGGGTTTGAGCTACCCCCATGCAGGCCTAGACGGGTTTGCTATTCCATCATCCACAGACAGCTGTCTCCTAAATGTATGTGGATGCTGATGTGGTGAATAAAACATAACTTAAAAGCATTACTGACTTTTGTCACCAAGTTTTTTTCCTAATAGACACATACATCATGCACACGTGTTTAATTTATACATATATAACAAGCAAGTGGTTCTATTAAAGAAAATAAGAGGACTAAGAGAGTATGGAGGTGATGCCTTGATTTTCTTTCTTTTTTTTTTTTTAGTGTTAAAAAAGGATCTACCTGGAAATTGTGGTTGTTCCTGGGGCGGGGACCTGGGGTGCTGGGAAACAGGGTTTGGGGGAGACTTACTTTTTAACTGTTTGCCCATATGTTCCTTTTAAGTTTTATATTGTGTTCATGGATTATAATTATTTAAAAAATAATAAGTCAATATTTCCAAAGCAAAAGTGGAAGGACTTCCAACAAAACAACCAAATATCCCCTCTCCCATGGGAGAGGGCTTGTCATTATTCAGTTTGACACAGTATTTTGAAAACTGAAAGTCAATTTTTAACAGAAGTGTGGTCATACTTAGAAACAGTGGGATCTGCTCTGTTCATTTGTTAACAGGCAAGTAAAAATGGTGAGTTGTTTTCAGCTGGCCCCCGGGTTGCAAGTTTCCTAACCTGAGCATGCCCACATGAACCAAGCAAGCCACCACGGGCAGAACCCGATTGCTCAGACCCAGGAAGTGGGGGCCAAATTAAGAAGTAGGCGCTGGGCCGCATGACCCATCATCCAATCAGGTCGAGCCCTGGCCTCCCCCGGTGGCAGGATCTAGTCAGATCATGCCTCTCGGCATTACCTCGTTACAAGATCCAATCAGATCACACCTCTTTACAGTCTGCCTATAAAACCTGCCCAGCCCCAGCTCGGGGAGACAGATCTGAGCCAGACTCCTAACTCCTTGCTCAGCATCCTTGCAATAAATTTTTCTCTCTACGAAAAGCCAGGGCTTTGGTGTTCAGCTTTCTGCTGCACATAGGCAAACGGACCCCGTTCAGTTTGGCAACACTATCTCAGGCTTAATGGGAGCGGTGTGGGGGGGACTCTAGAGAGCAGAAATGGAAGAAAGAAGGGTGGGGGGCGCTGGGGACACAAGTGAGTAGCATGGCTGCGCCTGTGCCTGCGCAGGCAGGTGACTCCCGTTTGCATGAGTATGAAGATTTTGTCACTGAGGAGCTCGGCTGCCATGAATCGAGGGAGCACTGCTCCTCATGCTGCAGAGCGTCCCGGACGCTGGAAAGAGGTCAGCCCAGCCTGGGTTGGGCGGCAGAATCTACTGCAAGTCTGTGGCCGCAGCTGGGCTGCAGAGCAGGCGAAGCCCCGGAGTGCGGGTCTCAGGGCAAGGCCCAGCCATTCTCACAGCGTGGGAAACGGCGGAGAAAGGCCAGGGAAGGAGCATTCCCGGACTGGGGGAAAAGGAGCGAAACCTGCCTCTAGGATTCTATCACCCGCTAGGCCACGTGTCTGGGCTCCTGTTAACGTGCTTACCAAAGGTTTTCCATTTTCTTTACTAAATGATTTTTTTTATGAGGATGTGTAAATTTTTCCTGCTTTTCCCACATCTGCGCTTGCAAGTGGAGGCGACTGGGATCCACGAGCAACTCTTTAGCCACCTTCGTCGGAACACACGTGTACGTTCCATACGAGGAAGGTGGCTACGGCACAGCAATGATTTTGGATAGTAACAATCAAATTTCTTTCCTTCATTCAGAAATTTACCGAGTGCCGGGTCTGTGCCGGACTCTGTTCTAGAGGCCAGGGTGATGGCTGTGAGCGTAGCGTCCCGTTGACGTCCCCCAGACCTCACTCTCCCAATTACCTTTCCAAATCAGATTTCTCCAGAATCTTCTCCCAAGCCTGCGGATGACAGAGGAGCCAGAACATTTCTTCTCTGGTCATCTCGGCCCAAAAAGGCTGCGCAATGCTCTGGGAGAGTAGCCTGTCTGATTATAATATTTGGGAATTGAAAAAAAAAGCAAAGTTAAAATGCATCCAAAATCTTAATGTCTCAAAAAATTCACATCATTTTTGTTTAATGATTTTCACCAAACAAACCATGGCAATACCCAGTGTTGATCAGGATGTGGTAAAACTGATGATCCTTAGGCTTTGGTGGCAAAATAGATTTGTGAAGTGCTTTGAAAATTCCGACATTGCATATTTAGTCACAGAAGTCTTCCGGCAGCCATCTAGTAACCCAAGCATCGGCACAAAGATGATCAGGGGCGTGTTATTTATAACGTCGTTAACCTGGAAGCACGTGAATGATATTTGATCATTCTGTCCACCCCCTACCATCTATAGCCCTGAGAGGGGCGCAGCCTGGTCCCCGCTAAGCCCTCCTGGGGACAAGGTGCTCACTGGCTGGTCAGTAGTTCATTTTAACCAAGCAGGCAATATTGCAGTTACCTTGATTTAAACACTCTTTCTCACATGGCAGCTTCTTTTGTTGTTCAAAAATCACTTTCAATGTATTTTCAATATAATTTGACAAAAATCACCCCCAGTACTACCACGACATAACTATCAATTTTATTCTTCACTTCCAGTTATTTTTCAAATGCATGTTCCTTTTCACACGGCTCTTACATTTACAATATACTTAAAATTGGGTGTCCTATTTTTTAAATGTAGTATTATACAAATATTTTCCATATTACTATACAGCTGTCATACTATTATTTGTATTTTATTTTATTATTATTTTTGATGACTATCCTATTTCCTTCAGAGGAGACATACCATCATGTTTATAGAAACACTCCCTTTCTGGCCAGGTGCAGTGGCTCACGCCTATAATCCTCACACTTTGGGAGGCTGAGGTAGGAGAATCCCTTGAGCCCGAGTCCAAAGCTGCTGTGAGCTGTGATTGCACCACTGCATTCCCGACTGGGAAACACAGGGAGACCCTATCTTTAAAAAAAAAAAAAAAATCCCTTTTTGTGGCACCCTGGGGTCTTAATGCTCTTGTCATCCATATGTGTTCTTTGTGTGATGTCACTGCCTTGTCCTGTGTGCTGCCTCCAGTTTGACCAGTGATGGAACCAAGGACTGGCTCCTGTGTGCCCCCCACCCCTACCCCATCCCTGCTTTGCTTCATGCAAGGGCCGGGGGAATTGCTTACATTGTTGCTTAAGCTTCTGAAAGGAAGTTATTTGCTGCTGCAGTATTTGCCAGTGTGGGCAATTGAGAAGGTCTCAGGCTACGTCCCCCAATGAAAGCCGCAGGTCTGCCATATTTCTTCCCAGCAACAGCGGACGGCTTCCCGGAAATTCAAGCTTTTCATTTTCTTTGGAATAAGATTTGTTGCTTCTTTAAATTTCTCGGTAACATTTATTTCCTTGGTATCCTAAATTGTTTTGATGCTATCCTAAATAGTATCTTTTAATGTAATGTTTTCTAACTTGTTTTATTTTGTTACTCTGTAGAAATATTCCTCATTTCTAATACTCCTCTTGTGCTTAACTAAAATTTTATTAATGTAATAGTTATTGAATGAATCATTCATGAATCGATAATGCTGGAGTTTTTTTTCCTGATTGTTTCCAATACTTATTTTTCTTATTTTGGTTCCATGCCTTATTGGGTTAGCTTGGATTATTAAATGATTTTATATTACGAAATTGACTCTAATATTTCACTGTTGACAGTTGGTTTACAAAAGTCACTCTTCATCATGGTAAGGCAGTATGTTTTATTTCTACACTTAAGTATTTTTATTAGGATTAAGTGCTGAATTTCCAGACTCTAATGAGATGATTATACTTTTCCTTTCTTGTTTATTCCATGTGTATAGTGTATTATGTGCATAAATTTCCATATATTGAATTATCCTTGCATTCCATGAAAACACCAACTTGGTCATTGTGGGTTTTTGAATCAGTATGTTATAGATTTTTATTCTCTAGTATTTTATTCAAAATGCTCATCTTAAGAGTAATAAATGACATTGAGCTATAATTTTCTTTCCTTGTGATCAAGGTTTATCATTAGTGTTAATATTCGCTTCACAGAACATACTCAATAACATTGTGTTTTTCGATTTCTGGGACAATTTATATGACATGAGGATTGCTTGTTTTCTGAAAGCTGAAAAGAACGTACCAGGTAAAACCCTGAAACTGGGAACTTGAAAATTTCTTTGTTTGCCACATGGAATGCTTTTGATTTTTTTTAATTTACATTTTTAATGTGATTAATAAATGCAGCTCCGTTTCTCTTCCCAGTGCCGGAAACCTGTCTCTGCCACCCCTCCCCCAGTGTATATTTTTTGAAGAGACTTAAGAAGCCACAGCAAAGTCCTTGATCTTACAACTGCGCTTGGTCCTCATTTTCTGTAAACAGTTATTTCTTACGTTCTTTGGACAGGTGTTTCATACAAGATGTACAATGGCCAATAAACGTAGGACGAGATACTTAACATCATTAGTAGCCCCCAAATGCAAATTTAGACCATGGTCAGCTGCCATTTCATTGGTCAGTTTGGCAAAAGTAAAAAGAGTGACAGTATCCCGTGTTGCTGGCAAGAGCTAGGAGCATGCGCGCTCACAGACACTCGGTTGGAGCTCAAGAATGATTTGGACCAACTCTCAACATAAAAAGTACCCAGGCCTGAAACTCAGAATCTCACTTCAAGAAATTCATCCTGCACAAGTACGATGGCAGGTACACAGAGAAACGTGTGCGAGGATGTCCATCCAGTTATTCGAAGTGGTTTAAAGAAGGGCAACCATCTGAAACACCCGCGTCGGGGGACTGTTTACAGACCAACGCAAAATAAACGCTTATGGACATGGGA